GCTTATGCTGAAGCAGGTCGACTTTGCCCTCCAGGAGTGCAGGGACGCCCTGGAACGATTTCTCGCCTCGAGCCTGCCCGACTCGGCCCGCGCCGCCCCGGCGCCCCAAGAGGAACCGTTGGGGCAGAGGCGCAGGTCGAGAAAACGAGCCCCTGCCCTCAGATCCTGTCTTCGCCATCTCTTCACATCGGGCGCTTCTGCCTGGTGTCGGGCCCCAGGGCCCTCACGCATCGATCTGGCTCGACACTTGAGCGACGGTCAAAAGCAGGTCTGACGCGAGATGACGCAGCGACCTTACGCGGCGGGATGCTTGCCGCCAGCGCGACACGCTGCGCTGGAGACGAGGGCGCCTACGCGCGACCTTACCCGGGCAGCTTACGCGCCAATGTCGGGCCGGCATTGGCGCCGACATTGTGTCGGCGCCGCAAAGAAAACGGGGTCGTCTGCGGCGACATTATGTCGGCGAAGACGACCCCGCGTTTTGTTGCGTCGCCGTGTCGCCGAATAGCAAGATTGGGTCTAGGGCTCCGGACCTGACGTGTTACGACGCTGCACGTGTTTAGCGACGTCGGAGCTCGGGGCTCCCCAAAGGCCCGGAGCCCCGTGAAGATACCCCAACCGGAGCGCACTCCAAGGCGGAGCGCCCGCGATGAGAGCATAGAGGGTACCCATCCAAGCCTGGGGCTGCCACCAACCCTCGTGCCAACTGTGTTCCCAGACATGCTACTCGGAGCCCCTCATGGGAGCCCTCCAGGAACCGTGGGTCACCCAGCGTCTCGCTCGGTGGTCGTCTGTGCGCCCTCGCACCAAGCCCCTGCCCTGCGAAACACGACTCCATGGCCAGGGCAACGGCGCGAGAAGCGCGATTATCCTCGCGCCCTGCGGGCGACCTGGAAAACATGGCTGAGAACACCCTGTGGCTTCCACTCGTCCCAGCGGCCACTCGACCCACAACACCACGGCGATAATTACTACCTTTGAGCTGGCCATGGTGAAACTGCACAGGACCATCAGGGGCAACTTCTGGGAATTCTTCGTCGGAGAAATAATATGGGCTACTGAGCCAGATTAAGTGGCGACTGAGCCGGATCAAGCAAGATCAATCCCAATTCAACAGGAGTAAACGGGATTGAGCCAGACTTGGCGGGATGAATCCAGATTTGGCCAGCTTCGATCAGGGATACACCAGCGCCGATTCAGATGTTCACCTCCCAGGAGTTGCATCCTGGGATGCCAATGCGTGGAGACAATCTCGAAATACTCCTGACGTGCGCACCAAATAATGCAGCCGAACACGTGCATTCGACTCATCACGGTCAGTACGCTGACCCATCGAGAGCTGCAGGCCTGGAACTGATGCAAACACGACCATTGTTGACCATGTTTCCCCGCGCGGAGTCGCCACATTGTGCTGAAACTGGCGCGGCCTGGGGGAAAGCTTCCCCAGTACGTAACTGAACAAGACAGGCTGTGCATGGAAGTGCTTAGCGTTGCTTGGCATGATATTGCTTGGCCTGGCTCTGCGTCGGGTGGCATTGCTTTGCGTAGCTTGGTATCGTGTTGCCTTGCTTGGAATTGCCTGGCATTGCCTGGTATTGCTTGGCATTGTTTGGCACGTCTTGGCATTGCGTGGGGTTGCTTCGCGTTGATTGGCACTGCTTTGTTTTTCTGCGCTTTGGTTAACGTGACTTGGCTTTGCATCAAATTGCTTAGCATTGCTTGACATTAGTTGGGATTGCTGGGCATCGTTTGGCGTTGCTTGGCATTCGTTGGCAGCACTGGTGATGGCATTGCCTCGCATTGTCTGGCATTGCTTGGGTTTGCTTGGCATTGCTTGGCGTCGGTCTGCATTGCTTTGCTTTCCTTGGCATTGCTTTGCTTGGCATTGCCTGGCATTGCTGTGCGCTGCTTGGTGTTGCTTTTCATTGATTCGTGTTGCTTCGCGTTGCCTGGCAGTCGGAAAGCCTGGCAACCCAGGCAACGGCGCAACCGAGCAACCAGGGCAACAAGGTAACCGGGCGCTGGGCAAACAAGCAAGCGGGCAGCAAGCGGGCAACCAGAGGAAGGCTGGGCAACCCTAGGAAGGTCGGGCCACCGAGCGACCAGGGGAAGCCAAGGCCACTGGCCCCTCACAAACCAGTCATGCCTCGAGGCAAAGCCTGGGGAACAAGTGCCACTGAAGTGGCCCAGGGGCACGCACGCAAAAATAGACACGAATGCCCAGATTCCTAATACTTTCCCATCTGTGTTCCTGGTGCTCGACGTTAATTTGTATCCGTGTTGCTTTCTCATGAGGAAAAACACCACGTTGTATCAATGAGGTTTCGATCACGACTGGCTGTGTGACCGTCGATGTGTAAGCTCGCGCTAAGAGACTGACAATACAAATGGCAACGAGAACTTCGTTCATTTCGCAGCGGCGGCGAACCTGCACCGACTTGCCACCTCGACAGGCGTCCTCTGGAGACATCAACGGTTGGCTGAACGAAAGCACCATGTGCAAGAGCCTGCCGGGTAACAGAAGCTACGTGCTGGGTAGGAGTGCAACAGCCTCCGAGAGGAGGGTGGGAACTACGGCAACAATGGCGTCTCCTGTCCAGACGGCCCCTGAGCACGAAGCAGGACGGGATCGCCGTTCGGGAGGCCACCGTGGGCTCTTGAAACCCAACGATGGCACAATGACAGACCCGCAAGCCAGCATGTGAGCGCCTGGCTTGACGCGAAGACGGCCCCCGCTGAGGTCCCACGTGCTCAACCCCGCTCCTCGTCCTCTTCTACTCTTCCGCCTCCTCCTTCACGACACCTCGAGATGCCCAGGGGCGGCGCCGGAGGAGCTACCAATTGGGCCGAGCTTCGATCCACGAAATCCGCGCTGGACCTCCAAAGTCCATGTCGAACAACCGCATGCGAACTCTCACCTTGCATCCCTTGCAGGTCAGATTTCCGAAAACCCCGGCTGGGGTTCAGAGCTCGAGGGATGTTTGCAGCCAAATGAGCCCCCGCAGGGGTGTCCGACACCCCAGCGTCAACTGGACCCGCAGGTGTAGGGTTCGCAGCTGGTCGCAGACATGTTTCTTCTTTGGATCGTGGCAACACGTTTTGGGGAGGAGACAGGTACTGATACTGCTACAGTCGGGTTCGATTGGAGAGGACATGCGAGAGGACACAAGAACCTTTCGAGGGCCGCATCGCCGTGTGAATGCAGACAGCGTGGGTCGAGAACCACAGGACACGAGGGTACCCGTGATCTGGCAGGGTAGAACTGCTAATCAGGGCCGACTGTACTCCGAGGACCTCTTCAAGGGTGCTTTCCTCGCCATCGCTCGGACGTCCATTCCCTGTGTTTTTTTTTTTCCGGTTCCGTGCGTGTTTTTCCGCCAAATGATCAAGGATGCTCCTCGATGGTCCTCGCCGAAGGAAAAATGCACTCGTCCGAGCGATGCCAAATTTCTGACCAGACTTTAGGGAAGAATCCAGCCGTGGCGACGCGGGCTCTTCAGGACGACCAGCCGCATCGGAATCTCTCTCTCCTCTGACCGCTAAGGCTCCAAAGGCAGGCCCTGACCCAGACTCCCGACGCCGGATATTTTTCATGACGTCCCCAAAAGTCTGGACCCCTTCTCTCTCGGGGACCGGTGCTTCTTCCTGAGTTGTTTATTGACGCTCCCCCGATGCCTGGGTAAGGGCCCCGGCAATTAAGAAAAACCCTCCCTGGGGTCAAATGTCACGAACAACATCGCAAAAGAACCGACCGGAGGTTTACAGATAACATCTTTGTGCGCTACGTTTCGGACGGATCTGTCTGTGAGGGTCCCAGGGCTCGCAACGCGTCCCCGGAACGTCTGGCTCGAAAAGAAGGCGACGCCAAGATCTCAGCGTCCCGTCGTGCTTTCTTCTCGACGCGAGGGGGTCTGGGGAGAGGAAGGGCACGACAAAAATACAGCTTTGAGCAAGGACCGACCGTCCCGGCACTCCTACAGGACTACCACAAGATGTTCTCAGAACATCTAAATGATCTCAGCCAGACATGCTCTGATATTATTTCGCGCAAACCAAAAAAAGTTCGTAAGGCACTATTTTCGGCGGTGGACAAACCCCCCTTTAGTACACCTCCCCTTAGTGAAAACGGCCCGGGACCGAAACCGACGGACCTGGACCCGCAAAAATGACGGCCGCGACGCTCTCTCGCAAACCGAAAAGGCCCAATTCCTTAATCAACGTGTCAGGGTAGGAGGCCTACCAACCTCCGATATTTCGGTGGCCCGATCGGCAAGCCGAGGGCTTAGCATGGGGGAACGGGTCCCGAGGGGAACGGGCCCTGGACCCGGGGGGCCTTCCCCCAACACAAGACAAGACAAAACACAACACACACACACACACACACACTGTTTTTTTTTTTTTCCCCCCACAGTGTGTTTTTTCCCCACATGTGTGTTTTTGTGGTTTTGTTCTCACAGTGTGTTTTTTTCCCACGGGATCTTCACCCGGAGTCGTTTTCTGACGGTCTGGGGGCCCAAGTAGGGGCCCCGAGAGCCCGAGAGCGGCGAAACACCGCAGGACCCGCCTCCCTCAGGACCTATCCCCCCCAATTGGACAGGCGCGCCCCACTGCTCGCAAATCAACTACTCGCAGATTGCCGAGATCCGCCGCGGGGGATCTACGACAGATCACATCAAAGCAGGCATGTGTTTTTCGGACGTTTGCGAGTAGGCACTTTGCGAGTAGTGGAACGCGCTCGGTGACTCAGGACCCATCCCCCCCATGGCGACAGAGGCACTCGGCACTGCTTGACAGATGACAGGCGCGTTCCACTACTCGCAAATCAACTACTCGCAAATTGCCTAGATCCGCCGCAGGGGAATTGCGGTATATTACATAGAGGAAGCCATGTCTTTCTCGGACGTTTGCGAGTAGGCACTTTGCGAGTAGTGGAGCGCGCTCGGCGACCCATGGCGACAGAGGCACTCGCCACTGCTTGACAGTGGCCGGGCGGAGGGGTCCTGGCGCTGGCGGGCGTGCGGGGCGACGAGCGAAGGCGCCCCGGGCGCCGAGCGAGAGGGGCCGGCGGACACTCCTGGCGCGCTTCGGGAGGTTGCCGATGAGGTCTCCGAGGTAGAGTCCGACCAGGGTCAAAACTGATAGTGAGGATGCGCGGTGCAGTCGGACTCGATTGGACAGGACACGCGAGAGGACACAAGACCCTTCCGAGGGCCACGTTGCCACAGGAAGGTAGGAGGCATGGGTCGAGAGACACAGGACACAAAGGTACCCTTGATCTGGCAGGGTCGACCTACTAACCTGGGCCGACTGTAGTGAGGATGCGCGGTAAGGATGCAAGTGCCTTGGACGCCCATGCCGACGCTTTTCGAGCGGGGCCGGCCGTCGACACAAGGCTGAGGACGGACCGACGATGCACCCTTGGGGAATCGATCGTCCTTACCGTGTGGAGCCGCCTTACCCTGGTGAATCCAGTGTTGACCGCAGATGGAGTCGGAGGATCGCGCCGCATCGCCAACGCATCGGCGAAGTCGGCGATGCATCGGCGCCGTCGCCGTGCGGAACATCGGGCCCTCCATCGAGCCGCATCGGCGATGCATCGGCGATGCATCGGCGATGTATCGGCGATGTGTCGGCTATGCGGCGCCATCCTCCCGCCTCATCTACTCGGAGCCCATCTGGAAGGCCTAGATTGCCGTGGAGCTAACCCAGACATGCTCGCGTCATGAAGCAAAAACAAGACGGGCGGTGTTAGGCTGTGTTCCACCTTCGTGGGGCCTCGCAGGGCCCCACGACCGCCAGAAAAACGACTCGCGCTTGGGAAAAGGTCGGGACTTCCAGGGACACCGCACTGAAAAAAACAAGAAACCGCATGGAAGCAAATCATGCTGGAAACGGGTCCTGATGTTGGTTCGCTGTCCTCCAGCCCCCCGCATGTGCCTTGATTTGTTTTGCATGTGTCCCATCCTAGCCCGACCGCAACTCGGATCCTAAACACCGCTGATCAAAATCGGCGGCGCGCCCAGCGTGAGAGGGGGCCGGCCATCTCAGAAGCGGCCAAGCTTCTCAGACGCCCTCTGGCCTTCTGAGAAGCCGTCTCTGCCTTCGGAGAAGTCTCAGAACCGCCCCAAGCCGTCCGCTGTTTGTCTGGTTCTCGGGCACTCCCTTGACCGTCGGCAAACTACTCGGGGTGAAGACCTGGTCCCCGGGGAAGGGGCCGGCGGGCTCAGAGAGATGGCCATGAGGCAAGCGGGTCCTGAGGGGCCCAACTGTTTCTCAACCTCTCGGGGCCCTCCGCGGGCCTTGGGACCGGCCGAGCTGGTCCCAAGGATAGGCCACGGAGTCCAGGACCCATCTCTCTCACGACCCGCCTGCTCCGTGCCAGGGAGCCAGCGCTCGCGCGCGCGCTCGGGTTCCCCTGTGCCGGAGAGCGTGAGCTGATCTCGTCGTGGGCCCCGGCCATACCGATCCCGGGCACAGAGTCGGTGGGCTTGCCTCCCAAACCACGACAGGAGGGCGTATACATGGGCACCGAATCCTGGACCCAAGACAGGCCTGGCTAGGATCGGTGAGGCGGTCAGTTGACGTCCCCCGCCTGAACTCGTGAAGGCTCTGGCTGGCCAAAGCAATTGGCAATTCACACTGACGTAAGGACCCCTCTGGATTCCGAGTCATCCTAAACTGCTGTCGGTGTCGCGTCACCATGGACACTCCTTGTGAGGTTCCCTGGCTTACGGTCGCCCGCCTCGAACCAGGCGGCGATGAACTAGCGACTGCAGCATGAAAATCGCGTAGTCGCATCGCAACGAAATTGGCCAATGTCAACCAGATCCCGCCAGCTCAGATGACAAATGACAACTAGCGCCCAAACTGAGGTTCTAGATATTTGCATATGTGGTATGTGTGGCGCGTGCCAACAGAACGAACAAATGCACACAATCATACATGGCCCCTATTGTCAAACGACCTTTGCCACGCGGATCTTGAAACGGAATGATGCGTAGCAAGAACATGCAACGTGTGGTATTGCCCATCAATTATGTCCCACAATGCAGAGCTGCGTTTTGGACTCGCTGTACACACCATGAAGCGTCAACGACGCATCGGCGCAAAAGGATTACTCAATCCGCAGGGCGTCCCTGAATATTGAGCTTTCAACTCCAGAATTGAAAACGTTCAACGCAGGAGGAGGAGGAGGAGCAGTAGAAGGAGCAGGAGGAGGAGGAAGAGGAGGAGGAGGAGGAGGAGGAGGAAGAGGAGGACAGGAATCGCGCGTCCACGCGGGGGACGACGCGCTCTTGGCCGGGCGCACCCCCCCTGGCACGCCGAATGCGGTGCTCCCGGACCGTCGGAGCCACCGTCCCTCTGTGCCTGGATGTCGCTGGTGGGGTCTCTTGGGAAGCTTCCCGGGAGCCTCGTGGAGACAGGTCTGAAGTTTCTAGGGGGCTGATTGGGGGTCTCTTGAGACATCTGGGGGCCCTTTTTTGGAAAATCCTGGGGCCTCTTTGGAGCCTCCTGCGGTTTCCTGGCGCCTCTGGCAGCGGAAGGCTCGTATGGTCAGTTCATGTTCCTCGGCGAGCTCCCTTCCTCCTCTTCCTCCTCCTTCTCCTTCCGCCTCCCTCCTACCTCATCCTTCCCCCCTGCTTTTCTCTCCTCCCTCTTGCTCCTCCCTCCTCCCTTCTCCCTCCTCCCTCCCACCTCCTCCCTCCTATCCTCCCACCTCCTTCCTCCTATCTCATCCCTCCCCTCATGCTCCCTCTTCCCTCTTCTTCCCTCCTCCCTCCTCCCTCCAAACGTGGTCACGTGGGTGGTAGCCAAAACTGTGGACACACGGGTGGCAAACCAAATGTGGACACATGGATTGCCAGCCATGTAAAGACGTTGAGGTTACCACCCATGTGTCTACATTTGACTTGCCATTGATTGTCCACATTTGGGTTGCCACCCATGTGTCCACATTTGGGCTGCCACCCATATGTCCACATTTGGGCTGCCACCCATGTGTCCACATTGGGGCTGCCACACATGTGTCCACCACAGTTGGCTTGCCACCCATGTGTCCACATTTGGGCTGCCACCAGAGAAGCCATCATCATCATCATCATCATCATCATCATCATCATCATCATCATCATCAGCAGCATCAGCATCATCATCATCATCATCATCAGCAGCAGCATCAGCATCAGCATCATCATCAGCATCATCAGCAGCATCTCCATCACCATCACCATCACCATCACCATCATCATCATCATCATCACCATCACCATCATCATCATCATCATCATCATGATCATCGTCATCATCATCATCATTATCATCATCATCATCACTGTCATCATCATCATCACTGTCATCATCATCATCATCAGCATCGTCATCGTCATAGTAAACAGAGCCACCATAATCGTCATCAGCATCAGAGTCTTCGTCATCATCATCTTCATCGTCACCGTTGGGGCATCACCATCATCATAGTCATCATCGTCAACAGAGTTATCATAATCGTCATCACCATCGGCATCATCAACAACGTCATCGCCGCCGTCATCGTCACTCATCATCATTCTCACCATCGTCGTCGTCGTCACCGGCACCGGTATCGCCATCGCCATCTGAGTCGTGATCACCATCGTCATCGTCATAGCCATCATCATCGTCAGCAGCGTCAACGTCATCGTCATCATCGCCGTCCTCATCATCACTGGCGTCATCGGCGTCGTGATCATGACCATCATCGTCGTCTCTTCATCGACGCATCGGGGTCACCATGATCATTATCATGATCAGCGTCCTCCTCCTCCTCCTTCTCCTCCTCATCATCATCATTGTCAGGAGCATCAGATCGTCATGATCGTAACCGTTAACGTCATAGACTCAGCATCATCGTTATCATAGCCATTACCATCACCATTACCATGACAATGGCCACCATCAACATCACCACCAGCACCGTCATCGTCCTCATCGGCACCACCACCATCCTTGCACCATCATCGTCAAGACCATCATCACCATCATCATCATCATCAACATCATCATCATCAACATCATCATCATCATCAGCATCATCATCATCATCACTGTCATCATCATCATCATCGTCGTCATCATCGTCATTATTATCCTCATCTCTTTTCCGCCCATCCTTGCTTTCCCTCTCCCTCTCCTAGTTATCCTCCCACCGCGCCTCATCCGTCCCTCACTCCCCCTTCCTTTCCTCCTTCCCCCGCCCTCTCTCCGAAATGCCAAGTTGACTCCAAGACCTCCTTCCTCGCTCCTGTCCCTCCTCATTCCTCCTGCACCTCCTCCTTCCACCTCCCCCTCCCCCTCCTCCTCCCCATCCTCTTCCTCCTGCTCCTCCTCCTGCTCCCCCTCCTCCTTCTCCTCCTCCCTTCACCTTCCTCCGTCCCTCTCCCTCTCCCCCCCCCCGGCGTGCAAAGCTGAGTGGAGGCGCCGCCGTGCTGCTTAGCTCATGGGTCAGCTTTGCTCCAGGGGGGGGGGGGGGGGACGGCGGTTCCACGGGAGGTTCATGGAGGCACGGGGGGGGGGAGAGAGGAAGGGACGAGGGAGAGGGCGAGCAGACGGGATAGATGTAGTCAGGTCCACGAGTTGCCCATGACCAGATCTGGGAGAGAGAAAGAACTTCAATATTGAAGTACGATGTTCAATAGTGAAACCTCTACTTCAATATTGAAGCTGAACTCCAATATTGAAGTACGAAGATCAATAGTTCAATAGTTCAATCTGGAGGTTCGGAATCGAACATCTTCAATAATTCAATATGGAGTTCCTATTGGGTGGGATACTACCTAAGTTCAATTCCCTAGTTTGAGTTTCAATACTGAACGTCGTTTTGAAACAAATCAAAATATCAACTCCCAATAAATGAATTGGACAAGCCACGGATCGGTAACCGCGAAAGCTAGGAAACAACATTAGTGAGGGAGTCTTTTTGTAGATTTCCACCGAGAGGCACTGAAACGCCTTGACCAACGATGCGGCAACTCTCGTTGCTGGTGACGACCTCCTTCGCTGATAACGTTGCGATTCGCGCTGGCGTCGCTTGGGAAT